AATGCTGGAAAATGGGACTGGATCAGTTTAGGATAGCTGGTCAGCATGGACGAGTTGGACTGAAGGGTCTGTTTCCGTGCTGTATATCTCAGACTTCATTAGCCAAAACTCCGTACTATAGCCAGCGCAGCAGGTCTATAGGAGAAAGGCTCAAGACAGATTCTTGAACCTATGAGACAATTAGGTATGTAAACTGAAAGATAGCAGAACTGAAAAAAACTTGCTGTGTTGAATGGAAAATGTGGTGTTGCAGAACAAATAGAAAGTGTGTTTCAGTGAACCAATCAGACTGGCTACTACAATATGGACAGGGAAGGCCAGGGTAATGAACATTAGGCATGACTGGGAATTTTGCTGTACAAGACTGTTAAGTAAACAAGTGAGTATTCAAACCCACATATGTAAGACTTCTTTCAAGCAGTTCAAACTGGGAATCTTTGCAAATCCATCTAGTGAGGTGATGCCATGATTACCAATAACAAAGAAACTGGTTGAGGTAGGCACAATAGCAACATTTAAAAAAACATTTGGATAGAGTTTAGAGTGATATGGATGAAATGCGGGCAATTGGAGCTAGCTAACTGGGCACAATGGTCAGCATGGGCCAGTTTGGACTAAAGGGCCTGTTTCCATGCTGTATTACTCTATGACTCTATAACTCTACAATCATTGACTGTCATTGCAACACCTGTCATTTCCACGATGGTCCAAATGAACGAGATGGACATAATGTAGAAATTGCTAGACAAAGCAAAATCTATGCTCGGACCATATAGTATCTCCATGAAATGCTCAATGATTTATTAATTCACAATTTTACTTGTAGAACAAGATGACAATTATTGGCAGCAATTCAAGGCCCATTCAAGAAGCCCAACTGTGACATAATTTGGTAGAGTACCACAATGTGAAGAATCCCTGAAAACAGGGAGAAGATATCTGACAGCCCTTAATGTACTTACTTCCAAAAGGAAAGTGGAATAAGTGGAATTGGACAACCCACAAGCACAGCAAGTAACAAGGATGGTTACATACCACACAAAAACACAAGTAAATATGCTGCAATCGATTTCAGCACTATGCCAAGTGAGTGATAATTTTTGCTTGAATAAAGAAGGAATACAGACAAATAATATTTGATAAGCTTCAATGGGATGAAAAAGGTGATGTTCTGGGGAAAGAGAGTTTATAGAGTCATCAAGAAAGTATTGTAAGGTAATGCCTTGTTGATTAGTTTCCTTGCTACATTTTGTAGTTCTAATTTGCAGATAATTCCTCAAACTCATTTTCAAATTCATGGCTTCGATGTCCAGTTAATCAACCGCTAAGTGAAGCTTCTTTGTAGGATGAGAGAACATGTCGTTGCTGACAATGATTTGCAAATGCAAGCGAGGCTTTACTGTTCAGCATCTCCTGATGACTCAAGATGTCTGAATTCAAGCCAATGTTCAAAGGTCCCAAAAGTAATCTTGATAATTATTCTGGGTATAGAATAAACACAATGCACCAATGCTCTATTGGTATCTTGTGGTAACAGAGGAAGACAGTATCACTGAAGTCATCTCACGTCCCCCCCCCAACCCCCACTTTTATATTAGAATGGTACTTCAAGAAGCAAGCATCGTGGATGCAAGAAAGCATGCTGATGTTTGGAATAAAAACCCTTATGTTCTGAACACTGGGCACATTCGCTTGATGACAAAACATATACAACCAGTATCTTTCTGTAATCTTGGAAAATTCTGCAAATCTATAGAATTCCATTGCTGCTGTTGCTAATAAGAGAAGGAAAGGACATCAGTTAAGATTTCATCAAGAAAAGGCTGCTGATAGTAAAATCTTCTTGAGTTGTTAGGGTTTCAGCTGCCATTTGGAGAGCCGGTGAGAGACATCTGCTGCCTCTTACCAGCCAAGGTCCACTGAAATACCTGCCAATCAGGCAGGAACAAGGCCAATGGTGGACATTCCTTTGGACACAGGTCCCAGTGGGCAGAAGTCCCACATGGTTGAATCGCCAGCCAATCAAAGACCAGCAAATCTCAGGCTCAGTAGTAGCATGGAGGAGGCTGTGGCTGTTCACAAAGGACAGAATGGTTAGAATAGGTACCGAAAGAACTACAGATGCTGTATGTCAGGAACAGAAACAGAAGTTGCTGGAAAATCTCAGCAGGTCTGGCAGCATCTGTGAAGAAAAAGCCAGAGTTAACGTTTCGGACCTTTTCTTGATGAAATCTTGACTAATGTCCTTTCCCTCTCTAATTAGCAACAGCAGCAATAGAATTCTATAGATTTGCAGGATTTTCCAAGACTGCAGACTGATACTAGTTGTACATGTTTTGTCATCAAGCAAACGTGCCCAGTGTTCAGAACATAAGGGTTTTTAATCCGGTTCTGAGGAAGGGTCACCAGACCCGAAATGTTAACTCTGATTTTTTCTTCACAGGTGGTGCCAGACCTGCTGAGCTTTTCCAGCAACTTCTGTTTTTGTTACAAATTTGTTAGAATGGCCTACTTATTCTCCTGTCTTATGGCCAATGGTCTACACTTGATTATCACAAGCAGCGGAACACTGCAGTACATTTTCCGGCAATATTTTCTTGTAAATAAAGTACTATAGGCATGGTTTCAGCTCCATATTGAAATCCATAAGTTTCCAAGTAAGTGTTCTGCTATTATCACATCCTGAATTCTCAAAATGTCAGCTACTTACATTTCCAACTGGAACTGACATTAATATTTCTCTGAGAATTGCTGAAATACAGATGTCTGTAGGTAAACTTATGTCTGATCTCAGCACAGTTGCAGAGAATTCCTTATCCAGCAGGACTGCACGAGCTTGATCCAGACATAAAACTTTCCTAATTACTCTTGTTTTCATTGCTCAGCATGCTGTTTGGTTTGTGAAGCCTTTGCTAGCAATCCCTCGAATATTGTGAAAGCCTCCATTTTGTTTAGAGTTGTTGAAGTGCCTCAATAGATTCAGTTGCCCCAATGGTGTTTAATTAAAGTATTCTACCACCTCTTTTCTCTTTATAAATTTTTATCGCTCTTCTGATCCAAACATACAATAAATTGACAAATAATTGAGGGTGTCTTAGAATTCAGCTACACTTGTTAGCCATGATCATTCTTTTAAATCAAGCTGACTACAGTAACAAAACAGTGAGCTACTTGAGCAGTGCATTTAATTCTGTGAGTTTGTATTAAGCTTTGATTTTGATGGGAAGAAAAATTCAACTAACTTCAGTATGCCCAGCATTGGGTCTCTTGGATCTGTTCAGGAGGACGCTGGGTTGAATCAGTTTCAGAGTTGGAGAAACATTTTCCCTTTTCAAAAGAAAGTATAGAGGTGCAAAAAGGCAGAATGTCCATTCGTACATGTACATTTTTATACCACATCCAGATTGCCAAGTCCGTTGAATGTATTCCTGGCCATAACTTTACATGATTATCAGTGTCATCAACCAGCCTTGATACACTGATGTTTATATAACTACTAAACTGAAGTGTATAAAAGAAATGATAAAAGCACACAGGAGTAGAAATCTGGGTGTAAATCTTGTGCAAAGTCTACCAACATACCAATGGGGCTGGCGGTGACCAGTCTTCTGCTCATTGCTAACTTTATTGGGCCCAGTAGGTGGTGGTGTGGGCCTGAAAATCTTAGAATATGTTCAAAGTGCTAGCCACATAAACAGACTCCAGAGAGCCAAATCCAGACTGTGCAACAGAGGGTTTGGCTGCAGAGGCTGGATTACTTAGGATTATATTCACGGGAGTTTAGAAGGATGAGGTGAGGGCTCACAGAAAGTTGTAAAATTCTAACTGGCCTAGGTACAATAAACACAGGAAGGATGTTCCCAATGACCAGTGAGACAAAGGTTGCAGAGTAGGCCATTTAAGACAGAGATGAGGAGGAATTTCTTTACCCACAGAGTGGTGAGCCTGTGGAATTCTCTGTCACAGAAAGCTGTTGAGGTCAAACAATTGTATGTTTTCAAGAAGGAGATAGATATCATTCTTAGGGCTAAAGGAATCAAAGTGTATGAGAACAGGGTACTGAGCTGGATGATCAGCCATGATCACACTGAATAATGACGCAGGGGTTCAAAAGGCTGAATAATACATTCCAGCTCCTATATCCTATGTTTCTATGATATTGACAGGCACTCCCACCCACTCTACCTCCTATTAGGCCCAAGAGAACCTGAGCTGGTGAGGCCTAGACTCTATGAGACATCTTCCACAAGATCCAACATTCACAAGGACACAAAGCAGATTACTTCCCAGAGATAGCCCAATTGGGAGTTGTAGAGTCAGGCTGCTCTGTGACAGAGGAGGCCCTACACAAGGCAGATTCTGATGCCATATATTTACAAGTGCTGGGATCCACTCTCAGCATAGCAAAGCTACCACAGTCCAACAGGACCTGCTCTCTCATGAGAGAGAGATGACAGATGGTGAGGGTCACCACACACCTCAGGCAAGGGGCGAAATTGAGAAGGCAGATTGTCAATGTAACCTCAGCTAGTAAGGGAGTTGAACCCATGCTGTTAGCATCGCTCTGCATCACAAACCAACCATCCAGCCAACTGAGCTAACTGACCCCTCACTCCAAATGTATGCTCGTGAGCACATGCCTGCAATTTGAAAAGTGGTTTATGGTAGACCGTATGTGCCAGCCACAATGTTCAGGGCTGCTCTTCTGCTGATGGGGTGAACTGTCCACAGAATAAATTTATGTACTCAGCTTATGTTTTAAAGGTTCACATTCTGACTTCTTGCAAATCCGGAAACAATTTTGTTTTAAATGAGATTATCCAACACTGAAAACTATAGAATTGTGGAGATGAGAAAAAAATAAATTCCACTTTTAATCCTTGGAGTTCACAACATTGTAGGAATAATTACACTTTTCATTTTTTACAAACCAAGCGGGAAAACTCGAGCATTTTCGCTACAGCATAAGTGTTAATGTTAATACCTGCGACCAGCAACAAGTTGGGTGAGCTTTGCACTCTCTTCACAGAGGCTAATTTAACAGAAGTAGCAGCACGTTTGCGAGCATAGCCACCGCTGTCTGAAAATACAGAACCACACAGATGCAGAGGATGCACATCAGGCAAAGCAAATTGTGAGTAAGCAGGCATAACATTCAGTGGTAGAATATTTCAACTCAACTCAACCAAACCAAGCATATTATTCACACATGCAAGGAAGCTGTCAGCTTTTAATAGTGTCTTTTTTTAAAAAAAACACACAAAGATAAATAGCATTGTACATCTCAGAGAAGCAGACTTTCTTCATTTGTTAGACATACTACCACTTTCGGACCAGCAGGTACTAGGAGAACTTGGGTACATGCGAAGCATATGGAATGGCTGAGTGAAGGGGAGCCAGGATAGATGCATGAGGTCAGTATTCCCATCAGATGGCCAGAATTTGAACCCACAGGATGGGATGATGGCACGTTTGCTGGGGCCCATGACCTGCAAGCTCACAGCTGAGCTCAACCATATTGCTGCAGTGAGCTAAGGAGGGAATCTTCAGAGAGCCTGTCAGTCAGTAGCTGCTGATAGAGTGACAACGTGCAAGGGATAACAAGCTCAATGTGAGAGAATCAGGCTACTGTAACCAAGATATGTATGAAAGAAATACCAACTGTAAATTAATTAATATGCTCGTTATGATGATCTTGGTAGAGACCAGCAACATGTCTATTTATTTTAGAATCTAAAAATCAAGGTATTTATCACAGAATTAAGCCACGAGGTTCACTCTTCAAATCAGGAAACTTTTATGACATAAAAGACAAACAGCATGATAACAAGTAACATTAAATAGTCACGATATTAAAGATAGTAAAAGCTCAATGAATACAGATTTATACTTTAAACCAAGCTCCGATTCAAATGACCTGGGAGCTGAAAAATGTAAATAAAAGTCCAAGAGCAACCAGATAAACAAATGCAGGAAATTCCTCGCTCTCCCCGACTACTGAATCATGAGAGTGTGACACTTTGAGTCATTTCATCTATAGAACTCACTTTGTCCAGTAATTTGAGACAGAACTTGGGAAGTATTGTATGCTTGGAAGGAACAGGTTACTTTAGAATGATGATTACCCTAACATTCTACAATCAGAGGTTTCTCTGGTCTCATGTCAGTTCTGTCGCAGATTGATAGCAATTGATGATCATTGATTACCAGCACTTCCATTATTGTTTCATAACACAACTACCAGGACGCTAGAAGTCGAAAATAGATGGACTTTGGTCTTCTTCAACCAGCAATTACTGTACTTTTGGAAGCATACAAATTTTAAATTACGAACTTAATTTTGTAAAATATTGGAAGTATGTGGGACACCTAGATGTGGGCGTGCAGTAGAGTGTTGGTACGATTTTGATATATTAAATCGTACAGAATATTTACGGACCTGGAACTTTCCAAATATCATTTTTGTTTACTTAATGTGCTTTGGTGAATATCACTTTTCTGGTTAAAAGGGGAGCATTTTTGTAAATATCAGCATGTAGGGAGCATTCAATAATTTGTGCAGATCTCAATAACAGAATTTAGCAGACATTTGAATTTTAAGATTTTTAAGTTCAACCACTGTAAAAGTCACACAGCACTGCTGTCAATTACAATTCTGATAATTTGGTTCTTTTACAGCTGACGTGGAAGACACAGAGGATACTATAGGTATCAATGATGAAGTTCTGGTTAAAAGAGCAAGTATGTAACAGATCAGTAGAAAAATGAAATTAGTAGACAGCTCAGTTAATGACATTTGTGGGGTAAGGAGGAAAGCCTAGATCTGTTTGAGTAGCCAAAAAAAAACTTAAAAATCAGGCCACAGCTTCAATGAATTTCTTTGCTTTAATCATTTCAGGTGTAGGCTGGAGGGAAGGGATACCACATCAGCAGGTTTAAGGAATTTGCTGCTCTTGATAGGGAAGATGCTGTTATATTTGATCCTGCAGACCAACACGGTCGAAAGCTGCTCACCCCAATCTTACGTTTGCAAATGTTCGAATTTTGTTTTATAAATGCTCTGTCTCAAAACATGCAAATCATTCTCTTTCTGCATATTTGCAATCACACTGCAAGCTTCTCAAATTGTTGAATATGCAAGGTCCCCTGGTGGCCCCTTGTTAGTCCCTTCAAAATTTATGCACTAATTCAAGTATTCCCTAAAAGTTGATCAGTAGTAATGAGGAAGCATATGCATTAGATCCATAAAAGAGAGTTGAGAAAACTTTCTTTGAAATAACACAGCCGCAGAATGCATTTTCACAAATGGTTATTTCAATCATGAGATTTAAAATCGAATTAGACAGATATTTGAGATAAAAAATATTAAAGTGTAAGGAGAAATGACATTACAATACGTAGCTCTCACATGGAGCTGACACAATGGGGCCAAACAGCTCATTCTATTTCCTTTATTCTTTCAAGAGGTATGTGTGCTACTGGCAAAGTTTGTTACCCATCCCTAATTGCCAATGAATTGAGTGACCTACTAAGGTATCTGAGAGGATTATTAAGTGTCAATTACATCGCTGTCGGTCTAGAGTCACGGATAGGGCTTTAAACTAAATATTGGGTGGGGGGATCAGTTCATTTGCAAAAAAATTATGGGAAATGTCAAAGGGCGAAGAGGGCTCTGTTGAAATTAATAAAGTTTCTAAAACAAATAATAAGACAGAGTGCAGAAAGGCTCAGGAATCTAACTTCAGGCACAAAGGGCCAACTGTGAGAATCAATACTGGACTGAGGGTGTTGCACTTAAGTGCATGCAGTATGCAAAACAAGGTAAATGAGCTTGTGATGCAGACTGAAATTGGCAGGAACGATGTGGGCATCAAAGAAGTGTGTCTGCCAGGGGATCAGGGCTAGGAGTGGTGGCTCAGTGGTTAGTACTGTTGCCTCATAGCACCAGGGACCTGAGTTTGATTCCAATCCTGGGTAACTGTGTGGAGTTTGCATGTTATCCCCATGTCTGAGTGGGTTTCTGTCAGGTGCTCCAGTTTCCTCCCAAAGACGTGCAGGTTACATAGAATGTCCGTAGTGTGCAGGCTAGAAAGATTAGCCGTGGGAAATGTGGGCCTATGGCAACAGGGTGGGGGGTTGGCTTTGGTGGGAGGCTGTTTGGAGGGTGGGTGCAGACTTGATGGGCTGAATGGCCTCTTTCCGCCCTTTAGGGATTTTTAAATATCCAAGGATACACATCCTTTTGAAAGACAGATAGATGGCCAGGAAAGGGCGGAGTTGCCTTGTTAGCAAGAAATGATATTAAATCACTAGCAAGAAGCAATATAGGGTCGGAAGGCATAGAATCTGTGTCGGTAGAGTTGAGGAACTGCAAAGGAAAAAAGACCATGATGGGAGTTATTTACAAACCCCTCTAAGTACTGGTAAGAACGTGGAAAAGAAAATAAATCAAAGGCACCATTACAATAATCAGGGGGGAATTTCAATATGCAGGCGGACTGGGAAAATTAGGTTGGTAGCAGATCCCAAGAAAAGGATTTGTGGAATGTCTATCAGATGGATTTTTGGAAGAGCTTGTGGCAGAGCCCACCAAGGAACAAACAATTCTGGATTTGGTGATGTGTAATGAGGCAAACTTGATTAAGGAGCTTAAGGTGAAGGAAACCCGAGGGGGCAGTGACCAGAATATAGATCACAGAATCCCTACAGTGTGGAAATAGGCCCTTCGGCCCAACCAGTTCACACCAATCCCCAGAGCATCCCACCCAGACCCATCCCCCTATAATCCACCTAATCTGCACATCCCTGAACACTATGGGCAATTTAGCATTGCCAATCCACCTAACCTGCACATCTTTGGACTGTGGGAGGAAACCGGAGCACCCAGAGGAAACCCATGCAGACACGGGTAGAATGTGCAAACACCACATAGACAGTCACCCGACCTGGGTTCCTGGTGCTGTGAGACAGCAATGCTAACCATTGAGCCGCCATATGTTAGAAATCACCCTGCAGTTTGGGAGGGAGAAGCTGTTGAGTAAGGGTAACTACAAAGACATGAGGGAGGTATTGGCCAGAAGTGATTGGAAAGAGAGCCTAGCAGGCAAGATGGTGGAGCAGCAATGGGGGCCTGCTTAATAAGAGTGATGGTGTTAGGGCCAAGGTACTATCATGGATAGAGGATTGGCTGACTGGCAGAAGGCACAGGGTGGGGATAAAGAGGTCTTTTTCAGGATGGCAGCTGGTGACTAGTGGAGTTCCATACAGGTCCACGTTGGGACCACAACTATTCACGTTATACATTAATGATCTAGGTGAGGAACTAAGGGCATTGATGCTAAGTTTGCAGATGACACAAAGATAGGTGGAGGGACAAGTGATGTTGAGGAAGTGAGGATGCTGCAGAAGGACCTGGACAGGGGAGAATGGGCAAATAAGTGGCAGGTGGAATCCAATGTGGGATAGTTGAGGTTATGCAATTTGGCATGAAGAACAGAGGCATAGCTATTTTCTGATAAGACTATGGTGACTTGAGTCTATTTTCTAAATGGGCAAAGGCTTCAAAAATCTGAAGGGAAATAGGAGTCCGGGTTCAGGATTCTCTTAAGGTTAATATACAGGTTTAGTTAGCAGTTAGGAAGGCAAATGTTAGCATTTGTTTTGAGACGCCTAGAATACAAGATCAGGGATGTACTGCTGAGGCTGTACAAGGCTCTGGTCAGACCACATTTGGAATATTGTAAGTTGTTCTGAGCCCCATATCTAAGGAAGGATGTGCTGGTATTGAAGGGGGTCCAGATGAGGTTCACAAGAGTAATCCAGGGATGAAGGGCTTGTTGTACGAGGTGCAGTTGACGACCCTGTGTCTGTACTCGGTGGAGTTTAGAAGGTGAGGGTGGATTTCATTGAAACTTCCTGACTACTGAGAGGCCTGGATAGAGTGGACATGAAGAAGATGTTTCTACCAGTCGGAGAGCCTAGAACCTGAGGGCACAGTCTCAGAGTGAAGGGACGAGTCTTTGGAACTGAGATGAGCAGGAATTTCTTCAGCCAGAGGGTGGTTAATCTGTGGAACTCTTT